AGTCTCAATACCAGCTTTAGTGGGAGAATCAGGAAGAGTCAAGTTGAATAAGCCTAGAGAAGAAGCTCTTCCCAGAATCAAACCTAAAGAACTAGGAGAGGAAACATGAGGGAGAGATGTCCAAGATTCTTTGTTGTAAGCACCAGACATATATTAGCTTAAAGGACTATTCACCTTTAAACAGCAAGAATCAGCCTGGAAAGTTAGGGGGCCATTATAAATGCCTGAATCAAGTTCTCTGCCATACGCTTCTGTTCAGGTGTGCCAGATATATGTGCAACACGATCACCCCGGGAAGATTTGGACTCAGAGATCTCTACCATTGCTCCCGATATCTGGAAAATACACAAATATGAATGATAATGACATTCAAACACACAAAGCCTACATGTTTAGGCAGAAGCTAGCTAGATTTTTCATGTTGACATCTCTACACAATAACCAACCAGTAGATACAGATCCAAAAGGAAAGGTCATCCCACCTTCCGGATATTGGCTATATTTGCCCCGCCTTTGCCCATCACTTTACCCACTGCATTCGCTGGAACTAGCATCTCAAGTGTTGAAGGGGGTGGCAACCTGCATAATGTTATTGAAAAACAATTTGAGGATGAATAGAAACCGAACTAGACAAGCTTCAAAACAAGGTAGAAGAAACTACATACGCTGACCCTCCATATAGCTTGGATGAATACGAAGACATGGATCCATAGCCATTTTCTCCCATCTCAAAGAAAAGAAAACATATATCAAGTACTATCAGAGGTTTATTTATGAGTTTATTCAGCTACAAATAACTTAGTTAAATGGACATACCGACACAGATCCATATCCATAGAGGCTACCAGAAGAAAGCAGGCCCAAGCCACTTCCACTTTCAGCCCTCTGATCATAACGCATCGAAGAAACTGGGGGGACAGAAGGCAGGACAGATGGCATTGAGAGAGTAGGGCCACCCGAGTACATGGATTCAGCACCGCCAGAGGTGTTAAGACCATCATCTCTATCTTTCAAGACATCGTCTCTGAGTCTTAGAACAATCTGAATAAGCGCATCCCTCAAACTACTGGGATCTCCTGCCACCTATATTAGGAAAAAAGAATTGATAAAGAGGTGATCAACAAGAAAAAATTGAATCGCAAAGGTTGAAGATTTATGTAGAACCAACCTCAACAAGTTCATTAGCATCAGCACCCCTAGGCTTATCAGCTTTTGAAATACGGATGTCAGCTTTTGTTCTTTTTCGGATTTCATTTATAATCGAACCACTTTTTCCAATAATACAACCAATAAATTTAGATGGAACAAGGAGCCGAATTGAAACAGAGTCATCATCTTCATCATTTATCTTCTCTTGCAGCAAAAGAACAGCTTCCACTGCCATGGATTTTAGATCATCAGGTGACTGCCAAAAAAGAAACCCAACATGATCAACATGTCCAAGAAGATGAATGCCAAGCACTGTTGTGAGGCCCATAGAAAAATACCAGTTCAGATTATTCACAATTTAATCACCCAACACAATGTTGACATTTAACTTTTAAAAGTTGAGGAATGTATTATAATGAGTCTTTCTCACAATGAAATCTATATTTTTGACAGTCTAACGGTGAATAAACATGAGCTCATGCTCAGAGAAAGATCCTGGAATTGTTGATGTCTGCACAAAACCAGCAACAATAGCAAAAATTTGATAGAATATTCCAGGTTATTTTGTCCTGCAAAATACTATGCAGACGCATAACAAAACAAAAATAGAAATACTGAACCCTTAGTGGAACATGCATTTATACCGAGCTCTTCCCAAATTTTGTTCTTTATAAATCTACCCAAACATAAAGAATAAGAATACCATCGCAGTCATACTTCCATTGCAGTAATAATAATAGTATATTATCATGGTCATACCTCTGTTGCAGTAACACTGATTATACACTCATCACGGTCCTTGGTATCATCAACCTCTATACGAGCACCACTCACCTGCCTTATGCTTTTAATGGTGCCCCCACCCTTGCCAATTACACGACCAATCTTGTCAAAGGGACACAATACTCGCACAATTAACTCCTCAGATCGAGAGGCAACACCGAAACCAGAAACTAAAGGAAGGGCAGATGAATACATGGGCCATGTGTTCCCTTTATCCGTGTAACCCTGAAGATCCTGTAAAGATGTAGCACCTATGATTGGAGGTACAGCTCTAGAAGAGACAATAGAATCTCCACTTTGATATAGTCCACCTGATTGATAAATAGGGACATCTGATGGGATAATTATACTTGGCAGGGCCTCTGGTACCGATGTCTCAAGAGAAATCTCTTCCTTAGGAGCAAACTTGTACATAATTGCAGAAACTGCAAACAATGCTTTTTTAACTGCTTCTGATTCTCCATTTATCTGTTTGCAAAGGGAAATGAACTCTTACAGAAAAATATTACTGGATAAGAAGTTAACCAAACAGAAAAGTGAAACATCTGGAGCAAAATTTGCAAGTGTGTAAACATATTACATTTTATGCACAAAGAAGGTCCATTTAGCACACCAGTTGAGGAACTTCATATTAAAATTTTCTAACACGGTGTAGAAAAGACTATTCACTCCGACTATTGCATGCTACTATGAGAGTGTAGTATACCCAAAATAATTCATAAACACAAGAAATATGAAAACAATTCTAAACCAAGGCAAGGCAGCAAATATGAACTAAAGAGCTACTGTACTGACTGGGCGCCTTTGAAAACAAGAATTAAAATGCCTAATTGCACAAGCAAAACATTGAGGAATTATTCTTATTTAATAACAAATACTAACCATAAGAAAATTGTCAAAGTCCATAGCGCAAGAATGTGTTGGATCAGTGGCATCTTTTGCAACAATCTTAATGTTGGTCCTCGTCTTGCTTCTCAGTTTCTTTATAGTCGACCCCGCCTTACCAATAATATTTGCAGACTGGCTAGAAGGAACAAGAATTTGGCAGTCTTCCCTACTATCCCTCCGTCTCTTATCCGAATCCCCAACACTAGCCAATGCATTCGAAATTGCAGAATGAACTCTAAGAAGAGCATCCTGGGCAGCACACAAAGGCTCCATATCATTGAACTCATCATCAACCTCAACCTCTTCCTTATCCTTAACATAGCTATAAATAGTTATTACCCTCTCTTTCGCACCCGGAAATGGGTCCACAACCTTGATTTTCGCTCTAGTATCTTGGCGAATCGAGTTGATGACTTTCCCACTCTTGCCAATAACACTCCCAATAACCCCATCAGGGCATAGAATCCTATAAACCACCAAATCATCACTACCCTTTTCGTCTCGGTCATTGAATCGTCTCTTTTGGTTCTTGTTTCCCCCATCATGGTCTCTCTGCGACCGATACCGCTTACCCGTCTCCCCCATTGTTCCTCTGGATTGGTTTTTCCTCCTAAACCACACCAAAATAATAATAAAAATTCAAAAACTGGGCACTCACCTAAATTACAACTGAAAAACAATAAGCAGATAAAAGAAAGAAAAAAATTTGATTGAAATTATATTGGATTGCCTTCCCTCTGGCAATCTTTGTACCAAAAGAAACAGAAAAAAAAATTGGGTTTTCTTCGATTGACAAAGTAGGGTTTATTTGCAGCGGAAAGGAATAAACTTTGCATAAATAAGAGAATCAAAGCTTCTGATCGAATGGGTAACCTTAGTCGAAAACTCACCTGTTGAAATACGGGGAGCTTCAGAAACTATAGGAAGCGGCCGTCGAGTTCCTTGGTTTTTTGTCTTTTTCTCGTCGCGCTTTGCAGTCTGATATGTGACGTAGGAAGGAACAGTTAGTTCGTCATCTTTTTATTATTATAATTGCTGCTTTCTGGATCCAATTGGGCCCAAACCCAAGATAAAAATAGACAGAACAGTTAAGCCCATTGGATCTTTGGATTCCCCATTAAGTTGCTCATAATTTTGAGTAATTTTCAAGGAAGGAGGGACTCGAGAGCGATGGAAATATCGAAAAAATTAGAGACAGATATGAAAAGAGAAGTGAAGTGAAGTTTAAATTAGTGGTTGACACTCTCTAAAGTTTCATTTTAAATTTTCATCATTTCCTTGAAAGTTACTGCTATCGATATTTCCACAAACTTCCACATTGATATTTCGATATTTCCACCAAAATTGTTATTTTAAACACCGCTCGAGAAAGAGATGGCAGGACAAGGAAGATGAAGTTGTTTGAAACGGATTGTCGGGTAAAAAAAAATTCGTGTAAGAGTGATTAATAAAAATGGAACGATTGACTAAATCTAACGACCATAATAAAATGAATCCTCACATGTCCTTAAAATGAGGACCTTAGGTGAGCATCACTCTTAAAAGGAGAAATTTTTTTGGATACTTTATATTCATCAAATTTTTGGGTGCACTTTTGTTTACTACTATTGAGTGGTAGTAGCACTCACTACTTATTTATCAACGTTAAATAAGTTTAAATTTAAGATTTGTGTTTATCTATGAAACATATCTCAAAATTTAAAATTTATCAGCAATAAATTGAGAGTGGTGAGCAAAAATATTCCCTTAAACTTTGTATCAACTAAAACTACTAAACTAACTAAATTAAATGGAACAAAAGTAACTGAATAAAAGCCGATCAAAAAAGTACAAGCCCATATTCCACGTAACACGTCTTGAGTTTAATTCATGACGTTAGTGAATCACACGATAATGGTTAAGGAGAGATGGAAATGCTTTTTTCAGTTTTTCCGGCCCTTTTAAAGGTGGATTGCCATGACGAAACCACCAGCTGATCCCTTTTGAAAAAAAAATTGGATATGTATTTCTTCGTTGACAAAGTTAAATTACACTCGCTGTGGTTATGTTGATTTTTGTAACCGACCGTGTATGAAACGTTCTTTTAAAGTTAAAACTAACTTGGTTTGATAACAAATTTGAGGACGAAAATGGACCAATCACTATAATTCAAGGGGCAAATTTAAAATTGCCTCAAACTTTTCTGAGGTTTTATTTTATATTGCATTTGCCCCAAATATCCTTTTTTTCAACTATCTTCTTTCTCCTTCTTTTACCCAGCAGCAGTGGCCGATTCGAATCCGATCTTTCTAAACCCGGAACCCCGAACCCCGAACATGGAACAAGAAGCGGCGGAAACGCTGATTCAGGCGGCGAGCTCAGATGGGTCGGAGCCGGCGGCCGTGAACCGCGCCAGGAAGCTTCTGTTCCGGCGAATGCTAGTTGGGATAAGGGACGGCCGGTTTTTCCTGGGGACCTTTCACTGCATCGACAAACAAGGCAACATCATTCTTCAGGATGCGGTGGAGTATCGGAGCACCCGGCGGTCCTCGCCGTCTCCGATGGAGCAGCGCTGCCTCGGTCTCATTCTAATCCCTTCTTCTTGCCGTGCTTCTTGTCACGTTGGTTGCTCTGTTGAAGAACAGTTGTCTCTGCTTTCGTTCTAGAACCATAACAATTTATAAAATAGTGTTTTGTATTGGGATGTTTTGCATTCATTGTTTTGACAAGATGATATTCGAAACTACTCTTATTCGAATCTGCAGGTAAGTGTTCGGTTCTATGAATGATAGAAACTGTTTTGTATTCATGTCAATTTGCTTAGAACTTGCATTGTGAGTGTGTGGCTACCCATGAATGAATTCGATTTTCTTTTGAAGATCGATGTTTTCGTTCATCGAAGAGTTTCTTGAACAGATTTGGCACGAAGCTTTCTTTTCACATTTGAGATATCTGATGTGCTAATGTCTTGTGATTTATGACATGTTCTGTGAAATGTTATGCACATTGTTTCTCACAGAGACATCTGAATATGATGAATACGTACAACGCTAAGTTTTGATCAAAACACTTCAAGAGCATAGTCCACCAACGGTTTCAAGCAAAAGCAACCGAAAATAAAACGGAAACATAAGCTGTCAATGATCATCTATCGTCCATGAACGAAAATAAACACCTTCAGAGCAGCTAGATTATAGGTTGGATCTACACCAACAACCTTTCCTTCCCTGTGAAAACCATTGCCTCTTGCGTCCGCAAGGTAAACCTATCAAGAAGGGCACCAAAGAAACTTTGAAACTCAAACGAAATGACTTGAACTCCGAAATAAACCATTCAATAACATTCAACGCTGTAATCCGCTTTGATCTGCAGCCAATTTAGCTGTAACATGGTAATTTGTGACCCGGAGGCACAACGGATTAACTGAGTTTAGGAACACGGTAATGATCTGGGAGAAGATGCAAACCAATAGATATCTCAAACTTACAGTTTACAAGAAAATCTGTCTTTACGGCATCGAAATTAAGGCACAGCTGCAGATGCATATAAAAACTGCTACGTCATTGGTGCAATAATCTTAGCAAAACTAAGCCTATACAAGTTTGTAGATTGTATTTTCTTCCTGAGTACAACTGATGGAGAGGTTTCCTGCAAAAACACTTTACAAATGGTGAAGACTGAGAAAAAAGAAACCATATGTTTGAAATCACCAGTTCATTGAGATGAGGTTACTAAGTTCTTTGAAAATCTTACGACGACAAAATAACAATTCATCGAGGTAACGTTAATAACATATGCACCTAGAAACATAACATAGAGTTTGGTTACACGGAAGCGGTTTTGAGAAGCAATGACTATAAACCATAAGAGTTTGATTTGTTTGGGAGCAACTCTAAGAAGGAAGGGGTTTCCGAAACCATCTGAATTTTATGCACAGGTGGTTCATCAGTGTGAATTTCTAGTTTATCTGTAACTTGATTGTTCCCCATTTTGAATAAAGTCTTCTGAGCACAAAACTCATACACAAACAACCACAAGACCCGCCCCAAGCAAATCCCAGAGATCCGGGGAACAAATTCGTAAGGCTTTTGAACTGATTTCAGAAAATTAAGCAATACTTAGCCATCAAACACTCCCAATTAATCACATCAGAAGTCACATGGGTCACAAAAAATTAAGGTTGCATGATTGTATGATAGTGTCATTGTTAAAAAGGTGCATTCGAGGTGTAAAAGAACTAAAAAGTTAGGAATTTTGAGCCGCAGATTGATCAAAAAATTATTAGAAAAGAAAAAGGTGACAATTTTCCAGTGACCCAGCTCCAGTTTCTGCATAATATCAACAATTCCCTTGAAAAAAAGCTGCTCTCACCATCCAAGTTCTTATCTTTTCTAAACTAACCACATAAACTACCAAATGGGTAAGATCAAATTAGCAAAATTAACATAATCTATCTCAATTCTAAGACCTACATTCAATTCAATAGAAAAAAAGTCACGCAAAAAATAAAAAAATTGTGAATTTAGGGAGAGTGAGAGAGAGTGTGAGACCTGGAAGAGATTGACGGCGCGGTCTTCGTTTTGCAGAAGCTCATCATCTTGTTGCAGAGCAAGTGCAAGGCGAGATGAAGGTGTGGGGAAATGGGGTCATAGAAATGGAGCAAGGAAGCCTCACAAGGCTTGGGGCAAGCACTATGGATCTTCTCCTTGTGATAATTTTGTTCTTCTGTGAATTGTGTGAAGGGTTTGAGGAAGAAGAAGAATGACGGTTGACCGTTTTTCTTTTTCTTTCCCGGGAATTTAACTGAAATTTGACCTTTATTTACCTCTAAAATGGAACTTGAATGTGCTTTTGTACCATATCCCTTAAACCAAATTTCATTCTACTCAATTTGGGCCTACTCTTAAATGGGCTTTTTTTTTTTTTTTTTTTTGTAATTATAGTTTGAGTGTTGTTCAATTAGAATTTTGAAAAAATTTAACGGATTTATGAAATTCAATCTTGTTCTCCTAAGGTTTTCATCTTCAGGATTTTTGATAACCAAATGCATATTAACTACAAAATTATATTAGTTTAGATACAAAGTCTTAAAATATTTGACAACTTAATAAAGCAAAACAAGAAAATGGGTTTTCTAATAGTTTATGGATTTTAAGTTGGTTTTACTTTATTAAGTTGTTAAATATTTTAAGTTTTTGAATCTAAACTAATATAATTTTGTGGCTAATATACATTTGGTCATCATAAGTCCTAAAAATAAGAACCTTAGGAGAGCAAGACTGTTTATAAATTTATGGATTTATATGGAGTTTAATTGGTTTCTAGAGATTTTATGTAAAATTTGGAGTGAATTCTCTCAAATTCTCAGAGGGAGAAGTGGAATTTGTGAATGTTTAAAATACACTATATATGAAATCTCTCCAATTCTCTCGAATTTATCAAATTTTTAAATGAATTTGGTTCTTATGGTTTCTCTCTAATACTAATATTTTTCAGTAATTAAGTTAAAAAAAAAAAGGTCCAAAAGTGGTGTGCTAAAGTGCATATAAGATTGGGCACTACGTGTTGATTGCTTCCATGGTTGAGTCTATTTTTTTCTCCACACTTTTTGATTTGTGGCTACCTTCACTAGTCCAAATAATTAACTTGAAAATTACAGAAGCTGAAGCTGAAGTGTACATCTAAAAACTTGAACAATATTAAGGTTGTAACTAAAGCTAAATAAAAATTACAACAGGAAAGGGATTCGACTATGAAAAGGAGTACTCCTGAACCAAATGGAGATGGGGACTGACATTTTTGGAGTAATGCAATCTGTCTTTTCTTCTCTTCCGACGTTCGTGCATGGTCGGAAAGATGAGATCTGATTTGCCTTGATGCTTTATGTCATTGTTAAGCTTGATTGATGCTTTAGTCATTGTCTAGCGACAAACTGATTAGTTTATCATCTTATATATCATGGCAAAACTTCATGAAATGTAAGACTAATCATATCAATTATGAGTTTTTCTCGTTTCATGGGTGGTCATGTGCGATGAGATAGATAAAAATAAAAAGGTACGAAACAATAGATATGATCTTTTTTCCCACTATATATGCATAGAGCAGATTCTCTCTTATAATTACAAACAAGATTTACTGAGCACTGGCAGATGGCGATTTACCATAGTGACGAAAAGCAATCGTGCTTATGCACCTTAGTGTGGGTTCATTCCTCATCGATTCTCCTCCCTCTAACAACTAACAATTTAACCAACTAACGCTATAACTCTATTAAAAAAAAAATTTATGGAGGACAATGAAATATAAGGATATACAATATGGATGATGCTATTCACACATTCATTTTTATCTTTCACACACTCCTTGATAATTTTTGTCCATTGATCATCTTCAATCAATTGAATTTGAAATTGAGAGATATGTGGAAGAGAAAAAAAAAAGTGTGTGAATAGCATCATCCTAAAAAATATGTAGTATTACAACATATTTCACTATCGGACTTGTAAAGTTTCAACTACACAATTCCTCGTCTTCGTAGAATATGCCTCTGAAATTGGTAATAAAGTTGCAAATGAGATACCAATGAAGCAGGTAGCAACACAGGAAGAATCATCTTTGTGGATTGCAAAAAGTTGCAATCATTTATAGAAGATGGCCAGTTAATTAGCACCTTCTGTGAAAGCAACAACTCACACGTCCACGTTCATCCACCCTAATAAAATAGAATCAGCTTCTCCGTCGTTATCAACCAAACAAAAAAAACTTTGGTTAGATCCGTTTCTTGGTTTACTCTCTCGAGTTAATTAGCTATGGCCTCCGTCCCTTCCTCCCATGTATGTATCTATTTTTCGAGTGAACTAACCCACCCTAACTTTCTCAGCATTACAAGAAACAATTTTTAATTTTGAAGATAGACACAAGAAAGAATTCAACAACCCTACATCTTATATGGTACATACATATAGAGGTGGCAATCAACCCATCAGTTTGTTAACATTAGTTTGAATTCATCTTACATCATCATCACCACCACCAATTTCACCCTTCTATTATGGTGATATCAAATTAAATGCGTCTTATCGGATACACATGTAATAACTCAATGTGTTGATTTGTTACCTCTACATTCGTACATATATATGTACCCCTTCTGGTTTCATGCTTATGAAGCATTAAAGAAGTGCTCAGATGTTTCTAAAGTGCATAAAATGACAATATAAGTATGGGACAAATATACTAAGAAGGAATTCAAGGAAAAAGGAAAATTCTTAATGAATTGCTAGATACACATTGGTACAAATATATATACATACATATATATATATATATATATATTCATACTAAACTAAAAGTCCAAAGCATTTACATATATATATGGAAGATCTCCAAAGCATTTACAGATGAACGAAAAAGAAAAAAAAAAGTTGAAGAAAGAAGGCATCAAAATTATGGAAGATCTCTACTTAACTCTCTTTGATATATATATGTATGGAACTATAATTTCTAGATTTAAGGGAAGGTTGTAGCTGTTGATTGAAGCCTAATTTGTCTGTTAAATCTCTGAATAAACTCTTCGGCTCTTTTGTTTAGTTCTTCGTTAGACATGGTCGAAAATTCATTGTCTTCATCAGCAGTTGGTTTGTGCTTCTGATAAGTCGTCTCTGACCTCCTTGGAGTGTTCTTCCTCTCATTGATGATCACTCCTCTTTTCGCTTTCTCAGACTTACTTCGCTGATAAGTTTTTTCCCGAACATTTTCTCTTCCAGTGCTACAACTTTTATTCTGATCATTATCGCCCTTCGACACGTGGACTACCCTCTTTTCTTGGACGATTTCTGTATTTTGAGGTACGAGGAGTACTTCTTCATTCTTTGTTTTCCTATTGTTTCCCGCCTCTAATTGGTTGGGACTGCATTCATTGACAATTTGAGGGTATTGGGAAACAAATGAGGAAGCACTACGAGCTGCTTGGCTATGCATCATGTACTCTTGGTAAAAATGGTCTTGTTGGTCTTTGCAGGCCGAAGAGAATGCGCCACAGTCGATGGCGATAATGAGGATGAGGGTGTTGGATATGGCAAACCAGAACTTGGAGTTGTTGAAGACAGTTGAGAGGGAGATGTTGAAGATATAGAAGATGCAAATGTAAATTAGTATAGAGAAGAAAAAAGCCAAGATGGATATCCCTTTAGCTTTGTGAGGATAATATTCTCTGGATTTGTAGGGTTTCGCTAAATCCTGCACTAGATTTTGTTGAAGTTTGGCCATCTTATGTGGGAAAGAGAAGAAGTGGCAGTGCTTGAGATGCCTGTGGGGCGAAATGTGGGTTTTTATATTTGGTTGGTAAAGGAAGTTCCAAATGAAGGAGTTTTAATACTGTGAGATTAGGGCACTGCCGGATATTTGATCAATAATTAAGACACTTCAATTATTAGAGATGTCACCTTGGCTTTTTTAGTGATTTACCAGTTATGCCCCTAGGGTTCCAAATTGAGCTTGGCGTAGGAATATTGGCTGCTTCCGTAAATAGCCAAAATAATGGAAAATTCTGCATTTTTATATACTTTTTTTTGGCCGGATAAAGGTGAAAATAACAATTGGATTTGTATTTGTATTTGTATAACCATTTGGCTAAGCGAACCTTAATTGAGAAGATTGGAACTTGCTACCTAAAAGAACTCTGCTAAATATGGCCCCGTCTACAAGCTGCCACTTGTGCTTTTTTAACACCACAAAAGCCAATCACGTAAAGGAATTAACGTCAAATAGCAAAATCTATGTCAGAAAATTACAAGTAATGTTATCCATAACATGTTTTTGTACCATATTTTCAAACCATCTTAAGTGGCATTTGATGTGGACAACCATATCATTTGAATTAATCAGATTTTAAAATTTAGTTCATTATTTAATAAACTAATAATTAAGAAAAACTAATTAATTAAATGATGATTGTGGTATACGAGGAGTCTTTCTCCTTCATTTTCTTGGGTTTTGCAAATTTTTCAAATGATGTGGTTGTCCACATCAGATGCCACTTAAGATGGTATAAAATTGTGGTATAAAAACATGATATGAATAATATTATTCGAAAATGACTTGACGCGTGGCTTTTGATGGCTAAAGATCGATCGTCTTGTATATATGTACAGATATGTACAGACTGTGACGTGCATGCATGCATGGCCCGTAGTTCTGTATTATTATGGCCACGTAGGAAGGTAGGTATTACCATTACGGAAGTGACCCTTGCTAGGTTATGTGGTTTCTTGTGCTTTTGAGCAATTTATTAGAAACAGCTCTCTCTCTCTCTCTCTCTCTCTCTCTCTGTATGTGTTTTTTAAACTCTACAGGTGTTTCCATTCACGTAGTTGGATGTCGAAATCAAAGACCTGAAGTTTCGGTTACTCATCTTTTACACAAGTTTACAATTTTTTCTTCTTATCTTAGGCAAGCTATGGTGGGTGTGGATCAATCCTTGACACCTCAGCTTTTTAATAAATCATGGCTTTAAGACTCGTAACCAAATTGTTAAAACTCAAATGCACATAATTAAATTGTTAAAACTTAAACATGAGTTTTGAGTCTAATCATGAACCTAATCAAATTGTTAAATTTCAGATATGAATTTTAAGTCTAATGTTTTATTCCCCAATACAAAGACTCAAATCTTAAACTCAAAATGAGTCTTAAGATTTGAGTCTTTGTATCAGAGAACAAGACCGAAAATACATATTCTACCTTTTCGAAGTCCAAATATTCTCATAGGTCTAGATTAAGTTTGAACTTATCTAAAAGTCTAAGCATGATTAATCATAGAATCATAATGACAATATAGACGTGCATCCCCGTTATCAACCTACTGTGAGACATTGGATAACTCGCGTTTCACATCTGACTCCTATTTTATTTAGAAATGTATAAAATTGGAAGCTATCATATATATATATATATATTTTTTTTCTTTTTTAACAAACAGTATTATCTATACTAAGGAGGTGGACGAATGGGCTAAGCCTCATAATGAACTAGCAATAATGTGGTTCAAATTTGCCTTTAGCGAGAAATGAAGACCTCTCACTTACAGTTAAAGAGGAATACTACTAAACCGTAATATCAAGTAACAACTACCATATAACTATATATCTACTAGATTTCATGTGGTGCCTATAAAAATATAATTCCCAAATTAATAAAACTGTAATATTGGATCATTTTATAAAAATAATAAACCGTAACTTCGCTTACTTAGCTTGCATTTCACTACTCTGGCCACAAAATTTTGGGTGGTGTCTTTGTGACTTGCTTTATTTTAATTAAAAGCTGGGGAACATTCACTCATGGAGATCCAGGCATGTCCTTTGCTGATTGGTTACTTCAATATCTCTCTGTTTCGTAATCGAATCATGGAAGATATTATTAGCCAAATAGTCATATTTTATGTATGTAATGAGATTTTGTAGTACCGAGAGGGACACTCCAAGAACACAAAAACAAAAACGAGTTTGGTTTTATTTGGCTAAACTATACACTACTTTCATATGATTAGAAAATAAATATTTATATACTGCTTCGATCACGGAACGAATGCAATGATTTAGGGCGGATGCATGTTCTAGAGGTTGATGACTCGTCCTAACTCAATCTTAATCAGTCAATTTATGGGGCTTGCTGATGTTCTCTATCATTGATGAACGATACGAGGAACTCATGATTGTGTTGACATGGACACAGAAAAATTGCTTTAATTTTCATAATTTTTTCGTCTTAAATTTTGCTTAAAATTGTAAGAAATAAAGGTGTTAAATCGCTACAAACAATAAACAGAAATTAAATATGTGAATATGTACACAATAGAACAAAAATAGAAAACCCTCAAATTGAGCCGAGGTAAGTGGTGAAGCTAGAAATTTACAACGATGGGGTCATAAAACATAAGCTTCAAAAAACTGATCATACTTTTACTTATAATTGCCAATTTATAATTTATTCTGCAAAAAATTCATTCCAAATCAATCAATCAATACAAAAACCCTAAAAATCCCAATGAGCTCAAGGTGAGAAAAATACTAATATGATTGATTCACAGATACAACCAAGTGAGATGAAGGTGCATGACCGAACTTTAACACCAGAGAAACTTTAATTTAGGAGATATGAAGTCTTAATGGAGAAGGGGTTTGCGTGTTTGAGAAATAGCATGCTAAATTTTTTTATCTTTTTATTTTATTTTAAATGAAACAGAATACAAAACAGTTTTGGTTTATGTCAATCTAAAGAATATTGATTAAAGGTCTCCTTATTTCATTTGTCAAGCTAGTATAAGGGTCAAACGAAATTTCAAAGGGGGATTTTATATGCTATTAGGTTCTACAACAACCAACTCCCCCACATTGGCTCCGCCACTAGAGGCAAGCCTTAGATGTTCTGATCTTAAGACAATTTTCGCCCCACATTGATGCTTATTGTTTGATGACGCTTGTCTCTCAGGCTACCACTACCTCCTTGTAAAGGAAGCACTGCGATTCACACGGCTCCTTCGAACCTGAATCTGCAGAACTCTCTATAATTGTTTATCCCTAAATGATATCTAGTATGTAGAATGCAGTGAATGAATTGAGTGAAAAATCAGGAGTATTCCTGTATTTATAGCACTGAGCCTCTTCAGAAAGAGAGTGTCACAACTCGAAGACTCAACTAATGCATGATTTCGATGAAAGAATTCAATTGATAACTCTTCACATCAATTTGAAAGGGGACGACATTCTTTGGAAAGGAATAGTCATTCCCTTGATATCAGACCCCAAAACAAATTCCTAATGAATATTTAAATCTCTACTAATTAATAAAACACTCATTGTCAACCAAAATCCTATGAAATTATCAGTTTAACCCTCTAATTAAAACATAACATGAATCAGAAATATGGGGCAAAAATATAATTTCACACAACCAAATTTTGCTGTTTTTTTTTAAATCTCACTTACATGTAATCCTAACATATTTCTAATAAAAAAAAATTAAAAATTAAATAAAAAAAAAGTTTCTTGCTCCCACATTCTCTATTTCTTTCTTCCTCTCTCCTTCTATTTCAAAAACAAAAATAAAAAAATTTCTCACATACTTTTTGTATGCCTATATATGTTAGTCAATAATTAAAAAAATCATATTGGGCTGATTGTAATAAATCCAATGGGCTCCGTATTGGGCTATGTAATTAACCTCACACAAAATATTAATTTTTATTCAATTAAAGAATTTAATGTTAGTGTTAGGATAATAGTAGAGAGGACAAGTTTTTAAACCAAATTGTAAACTAAATAATGTACCATCAGAAAGAAGCACGTTAATCAACACTTAAGTAATAATTCAATCATCAACATCCACATCATCTAATTTACAAAATTTAGTCTTCTTAACATTATTTTTTAATATCTAAACAAAAAGAGATAAGACCAAATACACCAGCAGTACGCATGGCTTTGAATCTCTGTTTTCTGTCTCTAATTAAGACCAAATAAACCAGTATACATGGCATTGAATCTCTGTTTTTTTTGTCTCTAATCCGCCGTTAACATCTCCTTCTCCTTGGTCAATCTTCGTTATAACCCACCTGCATGAGGTACTTGTCTTCAAGCAGCATTTATAGCATTTTCAAGTTCACATCCACACACCCGGCAATGCTTAGCTTTCCCGTTTCCAGAGAAGCCAAAAATAATGGAATATATGTATAGGTGGTGCTATACATATCCACACACCTATGTTTACTTTCTACACACCCATTCAGTTTCAGTTGTTGGGTTGAATGAATTGAAGAAAATCAAAAGACAAAACTTAACATGGTATGCGTGGGCGGTAAAAAGAGGTGTGTTGATAACACCATCTTTTGTACATGCACGCACACACATCTTCTAGGTTTAACATGCGTAATTAAAATGGGTATCAGTATCGGCCTATTTAGTTGACATAGACACTGGAAGTTCATAATGTCATCAAAATGACTCGTTATTAGGAAAGATTCTTGTGACAAGGCGCCGAACAAAATATATGGGGTGACTATTTTGCGTGTGCAAACAGACGGCCGTGGTTTCCAAAGAGCAGACCTAAAATTTTCTCCATAACTAAACAATTATCGTTATTGCGTTCATATCTCCTTTTATATCTCTCGCATGGTCGCTAAATGTAAGAGGTAGAGATCAAGAAATAAATAAATCACTGATTATACGACAGAATACCACCGAACTTGAGCTAATTCAGTTGAAAAGCAAAGAAATAATATCGATGGTGTGATAATCGTGCAAAGTGTGACAATCACTAGCCTCGTAATAATTTGGATAATTTCCTAATAGCATCTCTATTTTTTTGAGACATTGATAGTCTGAAAGATTGATGTAAATACAGAGGAATCTTAGTTTAAGTGTCTTATTCAGCAAACATACCAACAAATCTTAGTTTTAATATCTAATATGTCTAACTAAAATCTTTTCCTAAAACAACAACACTTGCACAACACACACAAATCCATGGGATGCCTTGCTGTCTGGCGATAGTTTTGGTGAGGTTTCGGTGCTTGGTATGTCAGGTTGTCTATGAGATATATCAATCTTGAAATTTTTTGTTGTAGTGGTGTGATTTGTGTGATGGTCATATAGGAGTTTAAAATTATTTGTAATTTGTGCTTATTATTATCTTCAGATCAAAAAATTGATCACTAGAGCATATATACCCATTTAGCATATTTGTAAATGGTTGATTACGGTAATGAAATTTTATCCTTTTATTCAAAAAAAAAAAAAAAAAAAAAGGGAATTGAGTGCCGTATTGGAAGGTTCCACAACATTTATGGTCCTTTCAGAACTTGAAGGTTATATTCCAGACTTCACTGGTATATGATATGTAAAATATGGATTACCTAGATTCGTTCCAATAAGCAGTCCTAACATTGCCCCGTCTTTTAAATGCAAGTTGGTTGCATTTAAAAGACGGGCAATACCAACACCATCACATAACTGCACTCGACATAAATAAATTTTCAGGCTTAGCAAAGTGGAATATAAAAAGCAATCGCAAAGTTGCTTCAATCGCTCACATCTCTTCTCATCTGATTAAGGCGCCCATAGCAATCCACTCGAATGAATCCATTACTCTTTGATGGCAGAGCTGCAGCAAACGAATGCAATTGTCTGCAGTGATAGATAAATAAGGGGGCTGACTCAGAATATCAAAAAACTATGCAGTAACCTCACCTCAATCCTAATTCTATTCCCATCAATCACAGCCAAATGCAATGGAAGCAAAATAAGTTGGAATGTACCAGTGAGGTGCCCTTGTAGCCACCACTTGCAAGGTCTCCATTCTACCATCCTCCCAACACTCCATTATCCAATTTGCTCCTGCATTCACAAAGTCAATCAGAAACTCATACTTTTCACAGTTTTTCGTCCCACAGTAACCGCAAATCCACACTTCAAACTAGTCCTGAATCACATCGTAATTCTCATTTCTCAGATTTTAACAGCAACCCAACTCAGACACCATCAAAAACACCAAACCCCAGAAAAAAAAATCACCCGTTAATCACTCTCTCTCATCGTAATTCTTTCCCATCTATATAATATGAAAACCCTTCAAGATCTAAACTTTCCTACTACTTCTTTACCAATAAAACCAGTTGAAAAATTAAAGATAAGAAAAGTAAAAGAATGGTAAGAATAAGTAGTTGCAGAAGAGCTAACGAACACATACATGGGTGAATTGAGAAAGAGAGGGGTTTTGTAGAAAGGGGGAAGTGGGGGCCGATAAGAGGAGGGTGGTGAGGATGAGAGAGAGAAAGAGTGAGGACTCCTGCAATGAAGATTGGCTTTGTGGATGCAAATTTCCGTCTTCTCTTTCTTAGACAAAATTGCACCTACAAAACAAATCATATATTTGGTCAATGCCAAAACGCCTCAAAAAAAATCACACATTTGGTCAAGGCCAAAAAGCCTTGCGCGCCCATGATGAATTTGGAGGGGGGCTTTGGCCGAAGAACCTCCGATGCCAAAGTTAGAATTTTGAGGGAAGAGTGTTTGGAAAATTTTGTAGAGTTTTGCCAGAAACTTTGAAGTAGTTTTTTGAGAGAATGGAGAGTTATTTATAGGGATATGGCCGGCCCTATTAGGAGAATAGGGACCGGCCATTTGTGGTATTTTTTTGGGTGTAATTTGTAGTTAATTAGCCATTAATAGATTAATTAGGTAATAAATCCATTAATTGACTAATTAACATAATTTAAAAGAAATGTTTTGGGGGTTATGGAATAATTACCTTGTGGAGAATATAGGATGAGGGTGGATTAAATAGTTTTGAATTTGTTACCTATTTTGGGCAATTTTGACTTGGTTGAGGGATGATTGCTTGCTGCTCGCGAGTAGGAATCCCAGTATGCCTCAAGGGTATTTTTGTCCTCTTCTATCCAAATGTGTCACCTTGTGATTATTTTTGGCTCCACAGGCTTCACTGAAATCGCCACCATCTCATTTCTCAGCTCTGTCAATTCGATTTGGATCTCTTTAATGCCACTCAGCAATACGAGCGGAGAAGAAGAAGAAGCTGGGTTTGGGTTCAGATGGGTTTGCTGGGATTGGGTTGGCCATAGTTGGGTTGCTGGGTTTGTGGTGGAGGAGGGGGCTGCTACAGGAGTGAATGAGGTTACGGGAGAGAGAAGGAGGGTAGACAGTGGAATTAATGAAAAAGAATAGGGGTATTGTTCAAAAAAATTATAATTTTGTGTTCCATAAGCTGGAACAAGTTGTTCCAAGGAGAAAGTGGAACGAAAAAATGGATTTGGATCCTCTTCTGAGCTTAGGAGGCTAAGGCTCATAAGCAAAGCACACGGGCCGTTGGATTTTGATCCAACGGCCCATGTGCTTTGCTTATGAGGCTTAGCCTCCTACACTCAGAAGAGGATCCAAATCTTGAAAAAATGACTAAAATTCGTTCCACAGTACAACTCGTCCGAGACAATTTGGAGCAGCAAATGTGGGACGGTGTTTTTCGTCCCATCCCATGTACCAAACAGTACCTATTGCTCTCCACTGAACCTTTTCATGGCTTATTTGCCTCTTTTCTTTCTTGGGTTTCTTGTTTTGGGAGGTGGGTTGATTTCAGGGCAACAAAACTTAGATGGGATGATAGAAAATGAGGAGCATTTGGGACTTTATGAAGTTTTGGGTGCCCTTCTGGAGGACCCCAGCAGGGCCCAAGAACATCCATAGCCTTGTGATGATCTATGAGACTCCATGGCTGGGTGTTCAATGTGAGATTGGTGATGAAAATCCTCCAATTTTTCATGTCACAAAGATTCACATTGCCCCTGATACTTTCACCCCTCCTTTCAAATCCTCTGCTTCCCTTTCAAGTTCCTTCCTCAAATTACCTTACTTGAAAAATTGGTAACTACACCAATCGCTCTCTCTCCATCACTATTTGGTGCATTGTCTTCCTTGGAAACCCTAGCCCTTGTTTCCAATCCAGCTCTCGCAAGAGAAATCCCCCCAAACTTGTAAAAAAATAAAAACTTAAGGGTCCTCAGTCTCTCACAAAACAACCTACAAGGAAAAATTCCTAGGGAAATTGGTGGGTTGGTGAGACATGAGCAGCTTGACCTAAGTTACAACAACCCAAGTGGTGACATACCACAAGAAATTGGAGGGTTAAGGAGTTTGACAATCTTGGATTTGAGCTAGAATGTTCTAGAAAGTCAGGTGCCTAGCTCTGTAGGACAACTTCAGCTCCTCCAAAAGATTGATTTGAGCTCTAATAGGCTCAGAGGAATAATCCTTCAAGATGTAGGGCAGCTCCAGTGGTTGGTGTTGTTTGATCTAAGTCAAAACTTGATCAATGGGTCAATCCCAGACTCCCTTTCAGGTTTGGAGATTTTAGAGTGTTGGGTAGTTGAGAAAAACCCAATCAATTCAGAAATTCCTTAGTTTGTAGGGAAACTAAAAATCTCAAATCTCTTAGGGCCTGTTTGGTACTCTATTTGAATCTAACTTTTTAAACTCAAAAACAATTTTCAAGTTTTAGATCTTAAAAACTTGTTTGTTAGAACTATTTTCAAAATCTGAACTCAAGACTAACTCAAAAATATAGTTTATTCTCTAAAAACATAAAAAGTGAGGTTTTAGATTTTTTTTTTTAAATTAAACTTACTCATTTCTTTTCTCTACCTCCTCCCCTCTCACTCCAAATCTATTTCTCTTTTCTTCTTTCTATCTCCTTTTTTTTTAACCTTTTTTGTCTCTCCTTTAATCCGCTCTTTTCGTTCTCTCGGTTCTTTTTCTCACTCATTTTCCTCTCTATCTCGTCTGAACCTATCTCTTCTTCTTTCTCTTTTATTCAATCATCTCTTAATTTCTTTCCTCCTCTTTTCTCCTTCTCCCTCTCCTGCGACCTCCTCATTTTAGATCTCTTTGTCTAGTTTAAATCGTAAGATTTAAAAATTTTAAATCGCAAACCAATCAAGTTTTTTAGTCTTAAAGAAAATTGTTTTCAAGAAATGTTCTTAAGAAATATTTTGAGAAATGATAAAAATTTTCAAATAGGATATCAAACAGACCCGTAACTTTTTAGGATGTGAGTTGATTAGCAAATTACCTAACTCTCTTATCTTCCTCGAAAAATCTCAGTGCTTTCTCTCTCTAGACAACAACAGACTCAATGGGATAGTAAGTTTGGGACACTCCCAAGTTTGGATCGGCCGAACCTGAGCAACAACCAGCTGAGTGGGGCCCTGTCACTTCCAGAGGATTTCATTGAGAGGCTTGGGAAGAGGTTGGATGTGAGAGGAAATAATGGGCTTTGTGCAATCAATCCATTGTACAAGAAGAAGGGCACTTCGGCAAATCTGATAAGTACCCCTCTTTGTTTGAAAGCAAGTGGAGCAACAAATGACACGGCCTTGGCTGGTGAAGAAGAAGAACCAAATGTGTCTGAGAGAATGAAGCCATTTGGTCAATACCCTGTTGAGAATAATAGTTATGGTTTTCTGTGTGTGTCAAATGAAAAGATGAAATTTTTGGTTTTGTTATATTTTTCCTGTGCCTCTTTTTGTAATGAACACTTATTTTTTAGTTAAATTTTAGGCCAGTTCGGAACTTGTTTTCATTTGAATTAGCTTTAGCTCATTCATGGGTTCATGAGTCCACTTTGATCTTCCTGGAAAATTGAAGCCATAGGAAACGAGCCCAAGTTCGCATATGTGGGTTAGACTAGTAGAATGTCCGCTTCGGTTTTTTGTCCCCATAAATTAGTGTAATTTAAAATATAATATCGCATTTGAAGAAAAACTAACAAGTTGTTTAGAGCAACTTCACTCCTAAAAAATGAGATGGCCCAAAATCCATTTAATCCACCCAAATGAATAGTAATTAACTCCAATAAACAGTAATTGGTCAAATGTATCTCCACTCCTTAAAAAATGAGATGGCCCAAAGTCTAGTCCATTCGTATTAAAATATTATTAATTTTTTTATAAAATAATTTTATTTTTAACTTTCAGATAAGATTTTTAGCCAATATTGTCACACCGCGTGTCATTATTCGAAAGTACAATTTTTGTGGATAGATTTCTGATCAGATTTTGAACCAATCCCGCCGCGGAATTTTAACCAGTTTTGTCACGTCACGTGTCATTATCCGAGAATACTAACAAGTTGTTTAGAGCAAGTTCACTCCTAAAAAATGAGATGGCCCAAAATCCATTTAATCCACCCAAATGAATAGTAATTAACTCCAATGAACAGTAATTGGCCAAATGTATCTCCACTCCTAAAAAATGAGATGGCCCAAAGTCTAGTCCATTCGTATTAAAATATTATTAATTTTTTTATAAAATAATTTTATTTTTAACTTTCAGATAAGATTTTTAGCCAATATTGTCACACCGCGTGTCATTATCCGAAAGTACAATTTTTGTGGATAGATTTCTGATCAGATTTTGAACCAATCCCGCCGCGGAATTTTAACCAGTTTTGTCACGTCACGTGTCATTATCCGAGAATATTATTTTTGTGGATAGATTTCTGATAAGATTTTGAATCAATCTCGTTGCAGATTTTTAACCAATCTTGTCACGTCACGTGTCATTATCCAAAAGTACTATTTTTGTGGAAGGATTTCCGATAAGATTTTGAACCAATCTCGTCGCGTCATGTGTCACTATCTGTTTGGAATCCTTTAGAATAGATTTTAATAAGATTTCAACCAATCATGTAGTGTCATGTGGTGTAAAGTGGAAGATGATGGTTAAGTATTTATAGAAAAATAATAATAAATTTTTATTTTATTTTTTCTGTATTTTTAAACAATTTTTAATAATTTTTATTAAGTTAATTAATCTAGACCGTTGGATTTGAAAAAGATTGAAATCCAGCAGCTCAAAATTGGACAAGTGGCCAACGGTAAGAATTCTGACATTTTTTAAATGTTTTTTGGTTGAAAATCCTGAACCGTTGATCTAGGAATCAAACAGTCTAGATGTTGCCACGTCACTAGCCGTTGGGTTTGAAATTCAAAATTTTTTTACTATTGGAAATCCAACGATTCAGAAAACATGCCATTGGAAATCCAATGACTGAAGACGCACCACGTGGCCCATGTCCCGCACCCCTTTAGTGTGCATGCTGCGGCGGGGCCCGCCGTATGTTTGCTGTCGAGAGCGCACGCTCATGCACTTGACGCAAAAAAAAAAATATCAGGCCTTCGCTTAGTTCATTTTGGGCCGGCCTACAAACTGGGATGGACTTTGAGCTGACCTATTTTGAGGCGTGGAGGGGTTTTTTTTGGTGCCAACCTATTTTTTTAGGTTTTAGGCTAGCCTTTTAGAGAGGGTTGGAGTTGCTTTTATAGAGAGATGAAAAAAAGAAGAAGCCTTCTAAACTCAAGTTCAAAATTTGTCTGACCTAGTCTATATATTTTGCAGGCTTTTGCT